ATCCTAGCAAATTTACCTCATATTAAAAGTCTCTGTCAGATTGTTTTAAAAGAGAAATTAATACCTGTCTCAGGACAGTTCTCTAAAGATCAAGTGAGATAATATACAGACAAAAAACATGGTATAAACTCTGAAGTGTTATATGAATGTAAGCCACATCTATTATTATCTGATGGACTGTGATTCCAATGACATTGTTCTGTTACTGATAATTCAATAGAGCATTAAAAGTTTACTTCATGGTACTGATAGGCGCATTTGAAGTACTATCCAGCTAGACCCAGGTCAAGGAGCAGCAGAGCTACAGTCCCTGTTGTGTCTTCTGGTTAATTCTTCCTCAAAATGAGAACACTTAGTCTGGGAGCTTCAAATTCAGCAAGAGGTTTGGATTTATCAAAGAAAAGCTCCCCCAAAGTCATAATTTAACATTAACTTGTTCACTTTCATATCAGAAAATCTTCAAGAGATTGTGCTTTGACATTCATGAATGAAAAATGTACAAACTGGAAATAATCTCACTTTTCTCTCTCCCATCTCTTGAGAGAGTAAATGGCATGAAAATAGCAGACAAATTCGAGGAAAGATGGGGACTAGTGAAGGTGAGGCTGGCAGCTCAGAGTGAGAGCCTGGGACATGATTATGTGTCAAAGACTTAAGAGATCATGAAAATAAAATTGATGAATGTTAAATATCTAGGCCCATGTCTATCCACATCCTTTAGCTTTTTAGTGCCTGTAATTTGTGCTTTTCAGAGAAAGTATTTAGATGACTTTGGCTCATTTTGAGCTCCGTGATGCTATATTTGTATGGCAATGATTTGAAGCATCCAGATGCTTGGGTTGTACATTCTATGATCATTAAAAGAAGTCCTTGTTCTGCAATATGATTTCTTCTTAGGATTTGAAGGATCAACTAACTGAATGGATTCGTACCTTCCAAGTCTCAATGAACTGTCCATATTCAGTTACCTGGAGGGACTGAGGTACATCATCAGTTACTTAAACTTTTTTATTTTAAAGGCATTTTTACCTATGGTCATTTTATATCACATTTTACTTGCAATGAAATGCTATAATTTTTTTGTCACTCCAAAAGATTAGATTTTGAGCTTAGCCTAAAAATATGAAAAGAAAGTTTCCTTTTTTCCTGCACAATTCTGGAAGTAGACAATGAATAGGGGAGGGCTTCATGGTCTTGGGGCAGGAGGGGTCTGGAACACAAAGAAATACTGAGCTCAACCAAAAGGACAATCAATCATCAAGAAGCAAAGGGAGAAAGACCAGCTCCTTTCTACTTTCATATTGAAATCTTGGGTCAAGGGACAGTTCCTGTCCCTGTAAGATTCTCAATAGCTTTGGGCTCCTCTCTGTTGGTTCTCTCAGCAGCAAGAGCTGAGGCTTTCAGTGGGTCTAGGCCTCTTTGTTAATGAAATACTCCTGTGCATAGGACCAAAGGCTGAAAAGAAAATGTGTGTAATAGTCTGATATTTCTCTTGGGGATGTGGTTCAGTGATGAGCGCTTGCCTGGCATGTATGAAGCCCTGAGTTCAATCCCCAGCACCAAATAATAAATAAATAAATGGAGCTAAAAGCAGGTGCCTATCTTATAGGACACTGGCACGAGAATGCAGACTTGCAGTCTGTCAAACAACAAAAATGTGTATTTACTTTGAATGATATGTTTGGTAAATTGCCATGTTTGAGTCATTGAAAGAGTAACTAGGTAGCAATAGAATGAGCCACAAGCTCAGTGTGGGGCAGGATTGGACCTGTGAGGACAATAGATGGGAAGGGTTTGGGATTTCTACTGTGTCTCAGAGCCCCAGGGAGGGATGCTCATTGAGAAGCCAGCAATTCTACCTGCATCCTTCTCTGAGGACACATGGAAATCATATTAGCAAAAAGGCAAAGACATAAGAATTCTTTTTGAAAACAGAATTTCATAGAAGGAAATTAGTGGCTTAGGAGGCTGAGATGGGAGGATCCCGAGTTCAAAGCCAACCTTAGCAACTTAACGAGACCCTAAGCAACTCAGTGAGACCCTGTCTCTAAATGAAATATAAAATAGAGCTGGGGATGTGGCTCAGTGGTTAAATGCCCCTGGGGTTCAATCCTGGGTACAACCCCCCCCCAAAAAAGAAGGAAATTCCAAAATTGGATCACAGTTTCTAATCCATTCACTTTGTGTTAATGATAGTGAACATTTAATTGAATATTAATACTATTAATATGTTATATTGCCATTGAAAGACTTCTTTAATTCACTAGGTTAAGTTTATTTAATATAGCAAGTAAATCAAACTGGATTCTGTCTTTGGGAAATGTGCTTCTTTAGGTGAGGAAAGAACTGCTTACCTGGAGCACCAGGGTTCCCTCTTGGGCCTGGATGGGCCCCCAGCAAGCCTGAAAGAGATGAGTTTGACATTTAATATTTGGTTAATTTCATTATTTATAAATATGAGTATATATGTGTGTAAGTTGTGTGTATATCATATATACACATAATTACACACACGTATATATGAATGAAATTTAGTTATCACACACCAAGAACATGTTAGAAAACATCCATTCTATCAGAGAAAAAAATCTTTAGAGCAATGAAGGATTAAAATGTTCCTAATGATTCTATCCAAAATAAAATTAGTGGATCAAAGTTAATGATCAAGGCTGGGTTGTGGTGGCACACACCTGTAATCCCAACTACTAGGGAATCTGAGGCAGGGGGATTGCAAGTTTAAGGCCAGCCCAGCAACTTAACAAGACCTTGCCTGGAAATTAGAAGTAGAAAGGACTGGGGATTTAACTCAATGGTATAGCACCCCTGGGTTCAATTCCCGGTACCAAATTCAAGGGGAAAAATGAGTAAGTTGTACCTGTTTCTCCTTTTTCTCCAGCTGGACCAGGAATCCCATCGTGTCCTTGGTTACCTCTTACACCCATTGGTCCAGGAGGTCCTGGGAATCCTGGAAGACCTGAAAAAAAAAAAAAGCAAATTAATAAACCAAAATAAAAACCATGGCATTTGAAGAGAGGACTTATTTCTTACCAGTGTGAATACTAGGAAAATATGCAGAATTTTGTTAAAAGTGCTAAATTTTCAGAGTTCTAGTTATGTGAAAGCTAGGACAATAGTGAAAAGCATGCCCAGATTACTATTATCACAGAAGCGACTGTTGGGATGCTTACATGGGCAGATATGTGAATCAGAATTAGAGAAGTAGAAACGTCTAACTCCATTTTCACTACATAGTTTTTGTCTTGGTGCCAAGTAACTAGAACTACCTTCTAGAAGAGCAGTAAGTGTACAGAGATTCCAACCTCAGTAGAAAATGTGCTTCCCTCAAGAAAAGGGGCAGAATAAGTACAAAAATGAAACCTGGAGGGCCTTTTATTCCTGGTCGGCCTGGGAAACCTTTGATTCCTTTAAGTCCCAAATCACCATCAGGACCTGGCTTTCCTAGGAATGAAGAGAGATGGGAAGGAAAAGCAAACATAGAAAGATAAATGTTTACAAATGCTTACAACAGTGCCTGAAAAGGTCACTTCTTGAAGTCATCTGTGCTCCAGCTGGCCTCAAGGAATCTCTGGTGACAGGTCCCTTCAAGCTTTTGTCTTGGCTGCTATTCTCCCAGGGACCACAGCAGAGATGTGTCAAACCATTTTAAAAAGCACATGTATACCAACCACATGGACCACTCAATATCTGAAGTGCTGTTTTCATTGTAGTTAGCTGCAAATATGTTGAAACTTGTAGAGTTCCAACAGATAGTTTAAATGCTGTCTTAAAGACCTAAAGCTGCAATCCAATAGTTCAAACAATTGTTTTCAATAAAACACAATAAAAACAAATCTAAACTGCAAGCTAATAAGAAAGCAATCCACTGTTCAACCCAGAAATATATCAGAACAAAAGGATCAGAGCAATGTGTTAGGAGTTGAATTGTGTTGTCCTCATATTCATGTGAAGCCCTAACCTGCAGTACCTCAGGATGTCACTATATTTAGAGAACGAGTTTTAAAAATTAAGTAGAAATGAGGTCACTAGTGAGGGTCCTAATCCACTGGAGATACCAGTTGAGTAGTGTCTATGTAAGAGGAGTTTAGGACCTGGACAACCAGAGGGAAGACAGGAGAAGAATGAGCCAAGCAGTGAGGTCTCAGAAGATACCAACTCTTCCTGCACCTTGATCTCTGCCTTCTGAACTTGAGGACCCTCAGAAAAAAAATTTCTGTTGCTTAAGCCATCCCGTCTGGAGTATCTGTTGTGGACATTTGTAAACTCCTCCAAACATTATAAGATCGTGCAGGTAAATAACATTTCATATCTTTAGGCAGAATTTGTTGAGGTAGCATTTCAGAAGTTTTGCCTACAGGAGTATGTTTTTAGATTTTAGTTTCCCACACAGTAAAAATAGACTCCTTTTGATTAATTCACTGTTTCTTATGTCTTAGAATTTCAAGGTCCATGTTGAATAAAAACAATTGTAGCATGTAAGCAGAGTTTACAAAGAATACTCCAGGAGGCTAATGTTACTACATGTATGCTTCCAACTTTCAGAACCCTAAAGCCAAAGCTCACCTGGGTGGCCAGGATCTCCTGGACTTCCAGGGGCTCCCTCAGGTCCAGCAGGCCCTGAACGTCCAGGTGGGCCAGGGGCCCCTCTTTCTCCTTTCTTTCCCACGTCACCTGGCAATCCTGGATCCCCCTTAAATTCAGTCAAACACCTTTAAAATTCTCATATAAGCAGGATATGTGATTAGGATTAAGAATAAACTTCATTCATTCATTCATTCATCAATTCATATTAAGTTCTCTGCTATAGGCCAGTACCATGAAAGGTGCTGGAACAGGTGGGCGACATGGTTTATAGGGTGCAATGCTAAATAAAAATGTAGTTCTCGATCTCTCTCTCTCTTTTTTTTTAATAATTCATTTCAAAATAGCAACAACTGAATAGTAAGCCAAGCCTGGGTCCTTCTTCACATGGGACTTTTGTGATGACACAGGCTGCAGACCCTTGAAGTTGCCTCTTACCAGCATGTGATGATCTGTACGAATCATGTATGGATACCATCTCATATCCATACATGGTACATACAGCCCTGTCTTCATGGAGCATCAGACACCAGTGGGGAGATGAATGTTAAATAATCACACAGATTTATAATTATAAATTTTGATGACTGACTGAGGTAAGAAAGAAATAGCTAACAAAAGGATATGTGTCTTACTATTACTAGGCAACAGATTCAATATGCAAAAAATACTCTCAATGATTTAATAGTCATTACATCTATATTTTAGTCTTATGATAAATCAAAACATATGGGTTTGATGGTGACTTGTAAAATTTCTACTGTAGCTAATTAAAATATATTCTACTGTAGCTAATTAAAATATATAGTAATATAAATTACTCTATTTCTTGCTAATATCATAAAACCAGCTTATACAAAGTTCTAAAAAATGGTTCTGATGGTTACCAATTAAATCTTAAATCTAAATGAAACTACTAATTAACTGAATGTGAATAAAGGTCAAGTAGAATTCCTCACTAAGAAAAATTCCTCAGTGGAAGGAGACTTTTCCTGGATTCCCAAGAATCCAGTCTAAATAGAAAGGGAAAAGGAAATTTGTGTTCCAATCCATAAGGGGTTATTTTCCTGGATCCATGAAGGATCTAAAATTTTTCTTTCTTGTTTTGGCAATTACTACTAGAAAATACAAAAATTTTAAGAAAAGTAGTATTTTGTTGGCTCAAAAGAGAGGGAGAAGATTCCCTAAGTAATAGCTTTTATGTTTTGGAGTTGTATATTCTTGAACATCTGATGAAATATGGGCTCTTCCATACAAAAATTTGCATTCAAACAGTTTGTATTCAATTTCAGGAGGTGAGTGTGTTTCTTGAGATTCCATAGATTCCTCTAGGGGTCCAAGGAACCCATGTTAAAAACCCCTACTTATGAAAATTTCTATTGGTTGTGTCATAATTGTCTAGCTCTGGCCGTTAGTATAACTATAGTAGACAGAAAAGTTGGTAGAAAGTAAATCTTGAAAAAGCAGCCAAAGCCTCCTGAAACATTTGGTTGCTGCTTCATACAACACACAATCAAGAGCTTTGACCTCCAACCTAGATTTGACAGACACAAGCACAAGAACATTAAGACAAAATAAAAATTTGCTCTGCGTAATAAAATGAAAATACACTTTATCAACAAGAAAGATAAATGTATGTATCTTAGGTTTCCATTTGCCCTTTAATAATACTTCTGACTTACTTTATTTTGTATCTTTTGTGATATCTTACTAAGACATGTGTTCTTGATTATAAGATTTCTAAGTCTGTGTGAGATGAGTCCATGGTAGAGACTAGCCACTTTATATCACAACAGAAAAAAACCCTGCCCCGTCAGGTAGTGTGGGCCTATCATCACTGCCTCCTTCTGGGAGCACACTTAAATTGCAGGGACAGTGGCTGAAACAGGATTTCTGAACCAGACAACTGACTGATAGGCATCCTCAGTTGTGGAAGTTGTATTTTTAAAGATCTAGTTAACTGCCTTAAAGTAATAATATTTTTAATTTTCTCTGCCCACATTGAATCTGGATGCTTTTTAATATTTCTTTGGGTTTCCCCCGCCCCATTCATAATTATTTCAGTGCCCTATGTACCTTTGGTCCTGGTGGTCCTGGCCTTGTGTCTTTTGAGTAACCTGGTTCTCCCTTATCTCCTTGTCGACCATGAGTACCTGGGAAGCCTGGTCTTCCAGCTAGACCTGGAAGTCCTGAAGTTCCTCTTTTTCCTTTAGAACCTGAAATTAAGAATCATATCAGGTAAAACAGGTAAATATGGAGTTCTACTTTCAAACTTCATGTAAAGTGCCCATTTCCCAAAAGCTGGTTTTTCAGAATCATGAATACATCAGGTAGTTATGATATGTAATTTTGTATGATGTAAATATTTATTTTGTTCTCATTCATGTTGCACACAATACCTGTGTCTAAAAGAAAATCTACTTATTTTATATGAGCATTCTTCTAAGTGGAAAAGTAGGACAATATGTAGCATAGAAAATCTAGAAGTATGACCTGTTGTCAGCTCAAGGAACTTATGTATTACCTGGCACACCCATGTTCCCCATGCTTCCTGGTGCACCACGTGGTCCTGGATCTCCAGGATTCCCAGGGCTTCCTGGATCTCCCTGAGGCCCTTAAGAACAAAGGAAGAGTAATATGCCCTGCATAGTTCCTGGGCATAGTAGGTACTCAATAAATATCTGCTACTTGCATGAATAAAAAATCCAGAATAGTAGGTCCAGCTGGTATAAGTTCCTGTTTAGCTCTCTTTTAAAATTTTTTTTTCTTTTGTCTTAGGGATGGAACTTAGGGGCTCTTAACCACTAATCCACATCCTCAGCCCCCCTTTTTAAAAATTTTATTTAGAGACAGAGTCTCACTGAGTTGCTTAGGGTCTTGATAAATTGCTGAGGCTGGCTTTGAACTCATGATCCTCCTGCCTCAGCCTCCTGAGCTGCTATAATTATAGGCATGTGCTACCACACCCAGCTTCCTATTTAGCTTTCTGATAAAGGCCAGGGGAGTCAAAACTTGTGAAACTAGAGAACGTGACATTCTCATCAGCAGGTCCAGATTTCAAACATCAAAGTCATTCTGGAACCAACACCAGTAGAAAAGGGTATTTCTAATTGCATACTGAAGTTTTGTTGCCTTGTAACATTTTTGTTACTGGAGTGGTTGGAGAATGAAGGACCACTTTAATAGTTTAAAAAATTACTTTGCAGCTAGTCATGATGGCACACATCTCTAATTCAAGCAAGAGTTTGAGGCCAGCCTGGGCAACTTAGCAAGACCCTGTCTGAAAATAAAAAGCAGAAAGGGCTTAGAATGTAGCTTAGTTGTAAAGTGCCCCTGGGGTCAATCTCCAAAATCACACCAACAAAGAACAAAATGAAACAAGAAACACAACTTTGCAAACTCAATTAAAAAGAGAGGGCAAAT